AGTGGCTGCCCGGGGTGGTGGGCGCTAGCAGGGCCCTGTGGTGGCACTGGGATGGGTGGGCTGAAGTGGGACCTGGAGATGTTGGGCTTCGTCCTTCCGGGGTTGGGTCCTGGGGGGAGAAGGAGGATGGGGGGAGAAGGAGGATGGGGGGAGAAGGAAGGAGGATGGGGGTGGTGGTGGTTTGAGGTGGGTTTTCATACTGGTCTCCCCCCTCCTTCCCCATTGACCCGTCCACCCGTCTTCACAGACGTCCGTCTGTCCATCCTTTCACCCATCCGTTGCCGTTCTCTTCTTATCCATCCGTCTGTCCAATCCCACCCACCCATCCATCCCCACACACCACCACTCCTCCATCCCTCCATGTCCAACCAACCCTTCTCCCCGCCCCCCCATCCCTCCCCGTGTCCACCCGTCTGTCTGTCCCTCCCCCACCATCCCATCCGTCCCTTCCCTTTGTCCTTCCGTCCCTCCAATCCCACCTGCCCTCCACCTCCTCCACAGTCTCGGGCAACGCCGTGTCCCGCGTCTCCGGCAAGAAGGTGGCCACCAGCCCCGACACTACGGGGGCCGCCCCGTAGATGATGAAGGGCAACACAGGGAAGACCTCACCCGCCATCTTCACCAAGGGGGCCATGATACTGCCCAACCGGGACATGGTGTTGGCCAACCCCATACCCGTCTGCCTGTGGGACACCGAGAGAACCTGAGGGGACCGGCCTGCGTGGTCACGGCCACCCCATCACCTCCCTCAACCTCCATCCCCAACTCCTTACCGAATAACGGTGGGGTAGAGCTCACCCGTGTAGAGGAAGACGCAGTTGAAGGACGCGGCCAAGCAACCCTTACCGAAGACGGCCAGGGCAGTCCGAAGCATCCGCATGTCTGTGGGGACGAGGACGTGACATCTGGGACTCACTTTTGGTGTCACCAGTTGGAGTTGGGTGGGGTTGACGGTGGGTGATGGAGAGAGGAGACCCCCCCCAAACACCAGGATTTGGGGCAAATCGCCCGTAAGAAGCTAAAATCGCTCAGCCGGTGAATTGCGTTAATGGGTTGAGCGTGTTCTATAGGTCTTTACAACCCCCCTATAGGGTCCTATGGGTCTCTATAACTCCTCTATATGCTCCTACGGGTCTCTATAAGCCCTTATAGGCTCCTATGGGTCTCTATAACCCCTCTATAGGCTCCTATAGGTCTTTACAACCCCCCTATAGGCTCCTACAGGTCTTTATAACCCCTCTATAGGCTCCTATAGGTCTTTTAACCCCCAGAGAGGAGACCCCCCCCAAACACCAGGATTTGGGGCAAATCGCCCGTAAGAAGCTAAAATCGCTCAGCCGGTGAATTGCGTTAATGGGTTGAGCGTGTTTTGGCCCTCCCAGATGGTGCTTTATGGGTTGGAGATGAAGGGGCCACCACGGCCACCGCCCCCCAGCCCTCACCTCGTGGCACCAAGATGTTGGCCAAGATGGCCACACCAGCCAGGATGAGGGCGACGGACTGGGTGAAGCGTCGTCCCACGAAGGTGATGGTGAGGATGGAGACCAGCTTGGCCGGGATGTCCACGGCCCCAAAGATGAGTTGGATCACGTAGATGTTGAAGTCAAAGTTTTGCAGGTCCATGGCCAGCCCGTAGTAGGCGAAGCTGGTGGAGAACCTAGGCCAAGGAGAGGTGTGGGTGGGGTGGGGGGGAGCAAATCTCACCGGTTGGGAAGTGTGGGGTGGGATGTGGGGGTCACACACCATCCCCTGGCCTGTGGGATCCAGCCAGGAGATCTGTGTCCCTTCCTGGAGGACGTGTGGGCCGAGAGACCTCTGTTAACCAGGTCCTGCCCTGTGTCTCACTTTCCCTTTCCAATATGGACCCAGCCGAGGTGGGTGGATGCAGGAGGTCTTTGGGGAGGGATGGATGGATCAACAACTCGGGGGGCAGAGGGGGAGGGATAGACAACCACCCCCTGATGTCCTCCACCTCCAGGCGTACCACAAGAAGCAGAGGCAACAAGAGATGCGGCGCACAACGGGAGTCCGGACCAGGTCAACCACCGTGTGGCGACTCCTCGATGAAGCCATCTCCTTCTGCATGTAGGACTTCAAGGCCTAAAGGGAGAGGGTGGGGGGGCTCTGGGGTGGGAGGAGCGGAGAGGGGAACCAGGATGGAGCTCGGAGGTGGCCCGGGATTAAATCTCGGGCGGGATGGGTGGAAGGGTGGGTGGGAGAAGGGATGGAGGGACGGAGGAACGGATGGAGGGTCAGATGGATGGATATGGGGGACGGAGGTGGTGGCTAGATGGACGGTTGGTCGTAAAAGGAGCTGGGTGGATGGAGAAGGAGATGATGGAGATGGTGATGATGACGATGGATGGTTGTATAAGGTGAGGGAGAGAGGGATGGATGGAGAAGGAGATGATGGAGATGATGACGATGGATGGTTCTATAAGGGGATGGATGGATGGATGGATGGATGGAGAAGGAGATGATGGAGATGATGACAATGGATGGTTGTATAAGGGGAGGGAGGGAGGGAGGGATGGATGGAGAAGGAGATGATGGAGATGGTGATGATGACAATGGATGGTTCTATAATGGGATGGATGGATGGACAGTGTCTACGGGGATGGCTGGTTGTTTAAGGGGCTGGAAGGATGGATGTAGGGGAGCCCCACAGTTGGCCCTCTACATGAGGGCCAGGAGAGTGGGGTCACTTCTCCCCACCCCCTATAAAACACCCCATAGATGCCCCAGGGGACCCGGCCGGAGTCTTTTACTTCTAAGTCGAGCTTGTCCCCTTCTTCTTTCTTCCCATTTATCCTGGCCACTTTCTGAAGCTCCTTCAGCTCTTGGTGGGACTTCCCCACCATGACCAGCCAGCGAGCTGACTCTGTTAACCACCTGTGGAGGAGATGAGGGACGAGATCCCAAAGATCATCCCACCATCCGTCTCACCCTGTGACCAACCATCCACATCTCCGGCCATCTCTCCGTGCTTTCGTCCATCCAACCCTCCAGCCATCCGTGCACCTTCTATTCCTCCATCCGTCTTCTCAACCACCTTCCTATCCATGCAACCCTCCATCATTCCATCCATACCTCCATCTGTCCATGCATCCATCCTTCCATCTATCCATCCCAGCATCCATCCATCCCTCCCTCCATCCTTCCTTCCCCTTCTCCTCCTCACCATGAGTAGAGGAAGAAGCAGAAGAAGGGCAACGACACGGTGAGCTGCAGCCAACGCCAATCGGGGATGGCGTAGGCGATCCCAGCCAGCAGGAACTGCCCGGTGGTGTAGCAGTAACCCATGAAGGTCCCCACGAGCGCTCGGGTGCGAGTGGGCATCCACTCCAAAGCTGCCGAGATACACAGAGACGTGGAACCAGAGCAGGAGGATACCCGGGGCCGGTACCGTGGGGCTGGTGGTGGCCACGTACAGAGGGAGACGCTGTTGAGGACGACGCCGGAGAAGGCCATGCCCGTCAGGAAGCGGAAGAGGCAGTAAACGGTGAAAGTGGGGGAGAAGGAAGAGCACGTCCCCATGGTGCCCATCTGAAGGTAACACCAGATGAGCAGAGACCGGCGACCGAACCTGGGGGGCGAGGAGGAGGAAGAGGGGGTGAGACAACCCCCCGTGATGCTGTCCCCTGTCCCCACCTGCCCACAGGGATGAGGTTCTCCCCCCTCCTCACCTGTCCGAGAGACCCCCGAAGACGATGCCACCCACCAAGACACCGGCCATGTAGAGCGACTGAGCCAACTGCTTCAGCCCCCTGGAGCTGCACACCAGGTCCCACTGCCGAGGGGCAAGGACATGGGGTGGGACAGAGAGCAGGGTGGGGGGGGGACATCCCCCCACCTCTGGCCACCCTCCTGCCCACCCCCCCAAAACTGGCCGTGGTGGCTTGGGAGGGTTGAGCCAACACAACAGCCAACGGATGGCCAACGGAAACGCCAAGAAGGTGCCAGCAAACACTTGGCCGCCCTTCCCAACATCCCCATGGTTGGAAGATGCTTCCAGGGGTCATCTGCCCCCTTTTTGAGCCTCTTCTTGATGGCCACCAACTCCCTCATCCCCCCCGCTTTCTTGTCCTGAGCTCTCGCGGCGTTGAGTGCCTCCGCCGAGGGTTGAGTGGGGAAGACGCCCCAGTTGGAAGACGTCAACGTCGTGATGACAGCAGATCCTTCGCCGGTGCCTCAAGGTGGGAACCGCACGTGGGGTTGGATGAAACGTGCCACCAGCCCCAAATCCCACCCCACCACTGCTGCCATCCTACCTCGGTGATGATGGTGCTGGTGAAGACGCTGCGGTCGTAGGTCCAACCATCGCGGCAGGGGTCTGTCTTCGGGCCGCCTCAGCAGGTCCTGGGGGTCCAGGCCGGTGGCGTTGGCCTCCCAACGAAGCCGGCAACGATGGTCGTTGGTGGCGGGCGGGGAGTTCTGCAGAAGGTTGTGACTGGCCATCATGAGGACGGGCAGGGCCAAGAGGAGCACCGAGGCCACCTGGAAACGTCCCATACCCCCCACGTGCTCCAGGAGGTTGGCGAAAGCCATGCTGCCACCGCGAGACCCCGGCAACGCCCCACAGCCATGCACGCCCGCCCCACGCTCGCAGAGCCCCAAAAGGGATGGATTTCACCCCCAAAAAAAACGCTTCTCTCGCTCCCGCGGTGGCCTCACTCCACGGGCACCGGGGGTGGTCTCCTATATAACCCGTCCAACGGCTGGTTTGGGTTAATATTTGACATCCGGGGTGGGGTTTTTTGCGGGTGATTTTCGGTTTTTGTGTTTTGTTGTGGTTTTTTTTTTTTTCCTCCGGTAGGAGAAGGCAAAAGTGCAGACGAGGTCAACGCAAAGGTGGCCAAGGACGGGGGCGGGGTGGTGGCCACCGCCAAAAGGTGACCGCCGGAGCCAAAGCCACGGGCAGCTCTTCCCTCCCTTCCTTGTGGTGGCCAAAAAGAGAAGTCCTCCCCCTCCAAATTAGGGCGAAACGGGACCGATCTGGGGCAGGAAGAAAAGGAGATAATCATCTTTGGGTTTGTTATATTTTTATTTTTTGAGGGGGAGGGGGAGGGGGGGGAAAGGCGG